ATCGAATAATTACGTCATTATAATAAAAATGAGGAAAAAAAATTAAAAATTTTTTTTTGTAAATTTGTTACGGATGTGAGAATTCGAAAATGAAAAAAAAAATCATTATTATTATTATTATTATTATTATTATTATTATTACTATTTCGAACGAATGACGACGTACGTTACGCCCTTTTTGTTTTTCGAATATTTTTTATTTTATTTTATTTATTGATTTTTACTTATTCTTTTTTTTTTTTTTTTTTATTTCGTTTCGTTTCGTAATAAAAAAAAAAAAAAAAAAAAAAAAAAGAAAAAACGACTTTTCAAAATGGTTGTCAGAACGTCAACGATTTTAAAATCAAGTTGTCGAAAAATAATAATAATAATAATAATGATAATAATAATATTAATTTTGACGTTTTTACTATTTTGTCACGGTTTTTCGTTTCGATCGATCGATCGACCGAGCGATTTATCCGGTCGCTACAACCACCAACACCATCACCACCACCACCACCAATAACACGATTGCCAACATTTTCGTTTGACAATTAAAATGTCTTTTAATAATAATAATAATACTAATAATAATAATCACGTCAATTAATGAAAAATCAATCAAATTTATCTAATGACATATTTTTTAATCGCACGGATTTCGTCGTGAACGAAAAAAAAAAAAATCGATCGATTGTTTCTCCTTAATAATAATAATAATAATAATAATAATAATAATTATTATTATTATTATTATTATTATTATTATTATTATTAAACATTCTCGAATGTTTTTTTAAGGTTTAATAGACTCGTTTGAAATTTTAGAAAATTTTCCACGCGTTTAAACGTAATTTTATTTTTTTTAAAATTTGAACGATTGATTGAAAAAATAATTCGTGGATTATCTTTTAACAACAAACAACAAACAAAAACAAACACAACGAAACGAATTTGTTTTCGTTTGTTAACGTTAAACGTAAAAACTAGTTCATTCGTTTTTTTTTTTTTTTGAATTTATTGATTATTCAAACCCGACCTTAAACAATATCGAATTTCCAAAATTTTTTTTCTTTTTTTTCCTCCCCTTCCCCCTCCCCACAAAACCGACCGTAAATGTTTTACCATCGTCACAATAATAATAATAATAATAATTTGTAAGTAAATAAAATAAAATAAATAAACATTTTTTCGCACGATGTATACATATATAAATCATAGAATAATAATAAAACGCGCGCGTAAAAAAAAAAAAAAAAAAAAAAAAAATTCGCATGTAAGTAAATATTTGTATACAAGAACGAAAATGATCTTTTTTTTCTGCTCTTTCTTTCATTGTGTCCGTGTTCGTGTGTGTGTTTGATGCCATTTGACAAAAAAAAAATAAATAAATAAATAAATATGCCAACTATTTTGCTACCATTATAACCTTTTATATGAAGGAAAAAAAGGTTGTTTTGCAAAAGGAGAAAAAAAATTTTTTTTTTTAGTTAAAGCAAACAAACAAAAAAAAAAAATTTTTTTTTTTTGACCGAAAAAATAAAAATTCAATGAAACGTAAAACACCTGAAAAAATAAAGAAGGAGGTTATCACTATAATCATTATTATTATTATCATTATTATTACTATTATTATTATTATTATTATTATTATTATTACGTTTAACAATTTAATTTTTTTTTTCTGTTTCTGTTTCAGAGTTTTTTAGCGGATGTGGCCCAACAGTCTTGCATCGGGGTAAGAATTTTTTTTTTTACTATTATTATTATTATTATCGTTAATCCCTTTTTGTGTGTGTATAAAAAATGTTGCAAGAGTTCAATAATATATAACCAGATGTTTAATTTATTATCATTATCATTATCATTATTCTGCTTTCATTTTATATTATTACGTCATATTATTATTATTATTATTTAACCTCCTCACAATTAAAATGGGATAAAAAAAAATACAAACGATTGCTTGACGTTGACGTCGTGGAAAATTATTAATAAAAAAAAAAAATTTCCTAACAAACAAACGAACAAACGGCCGCCATTTTTAAATTTTCTAACCGAAAAAATTGATTTCCACACACTATTCTTACTACTTTTACTCGTTTTAAAAGATTCGTATACGCATTTTTATTTTATTATTACCATTATAATAATAATAATAATAATAATAATAATAAGTAGAGGGTTTGACCGAGAATGATGATGGCGATGATGATGATGGTTTTGTGTAAAAACACCACCACCTTGAATTAAATTCTAAGAAATGTTTAAAAATTTGTCAAATTAAATGGAAATAATGAAAAAGAATGAAGAAAAAAAAAAAAAAAGGAAAAAAACCCGCAACAAGAACAACAACAACAACAACAACAATCGAACCCATCGATGATCGTGTGTTGTTTGTTAAAAGCCAATAGAAAAAAAATAAAATTGAAATATTCATTTTACGCATCCGTGAACAAACGTTTCGAATTGTACAAGTTTTAAAAATTTGGATTTGACCAAAAAGAAGGAGAGAGGGAGGGAATGAGAAGAGAGAGAGAGAGAGAGAGAGGGAGGGAATGAGAAGAGAGAGAGAGAGAGAGAGAGAGAGAGGGAGGGAATGAGAAGAGAGAGAGAGAGAGAGAGAGAGAGAGAGGGACGGGGGGGGGGAAATTGGGGGTTTTGCAAAAAGGGCGGCGGTTGTTTAGACGTGAAATGTCCGAATGAACAAAACAATAAGTGATGCCTTTTTCACCGATACCTCTGCCCTCCCCCCTCCCTCCCCACCCGGAGTGTGTTCGTGTCTTTTTTTTTTTTCCTTTTTAACTATCTCATCCTCCACTACCACCACCACCACCACCTTTACCATTCCTATAATTATAGATGGATGAAAGTAATCGTATAGTTAGTACCGTTCTTGTTGTTTTTGTTGTTTGTTGTTTAAATGAAAGGATTATGAGATTATAAAAAACAGATAAGAAACAAAAAAAAATTCGTTCTTGATTAGTTCAGGTGGAACAACAAACAACAGCTTTTTTCATTTCTCTTTCTGTTCAGCCTATTTGCTGATGGTATATATATAAATCCGATTAATTCATATTTCAATTTACTTACACATCTTTTATATCTTTTATTACCTAATTATTTTTTTTTAAAATACGTTTTTTTTCCTTTCTAGTCAATCAATCATTCATATACTTTCATTCATTCTTTCATCCATCCCTTTTTTCGGCAAAAAATAAAAAAAAAATTCATTAATTAAATCGTTTTTTTTCCCCCTTTTCTCTTACGTATGACGTAATTAGTCGGTTGTTTTAAGTAAGCATTTTCAATAATTAAATAAAATAAATTCTTTTTATTATTATTATTATTAATCGGCCATATTGAAATTTTTTATCAATTTTCTTTTTCGCATCACCTCGTAAAACAAACATTCATCGATCTCTGATTGTTAGTCTGTGAGAAAAAAAATATACGCCGTTTAGTATTTACAATTAGGTCGTGTCAGAAGACGTAAAAAAAAAAAAAAGGCGCGTAAAATAATTACACGTCAATTAATTTAAATAAATTTAAAAGAATTCGTGGTCGGTCGTGACGTGATTTCCCTTTTGGACCAAGACAAATTTTGTTTTTTTTTAGATTAATTTAAAATGATGGTTAACCGTTTCCGGTTATTTTTCAAAAAAAAAAAAAAAGAAATTCCATCGAGTCCAAACGAATACAGGGGAGAGAGAGAGAGAGAGAGAGAGAGAGAAAAAAGAAGAGAAAAAGTGATTTATTTCGTGAATGATGTTAATCTCTGTAAATATTAATAACTCGTTGGTGGTTGAGAAGAAACGTGAAGTGGATATATATAAAAAAAAAAGGCTTTTTTTTTTTTTTTTTTAATATTCCACCATTGAGAGAGAGAAAGAGAGAAAGAGAGAGAGAGAGAACGAGTGAATTAAAAAGAAATTAGAAAATTTAAAAAAAAAAAAAAAACGGGGAACCGTTAAAGAGTTTTTTAAATGAAAACTTTGTCCGCGGGTGCCACATAATTGCGTTTTCCCCCACCCCCCCCCCTCTCTCTCACTCATTCTCTCTCTCTCTTTGACGAAATCGACTACTCGAATCATTTTTTTTTTACTTTTTATTATTAAAAAAATGGCGGAGATGTAAAAAATTTCATTTTTAATTTGAATTTTACGTTTGTCCGACGATTCAATCGTCATTTATCTATTAAATTCAAACACGTACAAACGACTCGTTTGTGTTTGTTTCGAAAAAAAATCAAACAACCCGAAAAAAATGGCCAAACAACCCGAAAAATTTTATTGTTATTGTTGTTTTGGGGTAGATCCACGAAAGAAAAGATTTTAAAAAAAATTTATTTTCGCATAAATTAATAATAATAATAATAATAACGTTTCATAGATTAATTCAATCACGTGTACACATATAATGACAATGATAAATAATAATAATAATAATAATATTGTTTTCCGAATGGTTTTAAATAGAAAAAAAAAAAAAAAATTACTAAAATCGATTGGAATTTTCCAAAAAAAAAAAAAAAAAAAGTTGATCATTCATCCAAATAATTGGATTTTTATTTTTATTTTTTTTTTTGTAATAATAAAAATACGAATTTGTGCGTGTGTGCGTGTACAAAAAAAAAAAATTTTTTTTTTCTTCTTCTTATTCTGGTTTCAATTGTGTATTTTTAAAAGTGAATGAAACGCCGACGTCAAGCAGTCTGTCAAATTTTTAAAATTTAAAAAAAAAAAAAAAAAAAGAAAAAAAAATTCAATGGACCAAAATTGAATTTTCTATTGATATTTGAAAAATGAATTGTTATCATCAACAAACGCGTGTGTATAACAAACAATTTAAATTCTTTGTTTGAAAATTAATTTTTTTTTTATTTTCCATCTCTCTCTCTCTCTCTCTCTCTCTCTTATATCACTCTCTCTTTTTCTTTTTTTTTTAGATGCAGTCCCGAAAGCGAGTTGGGTTTTCCCGCTTTCAGCAGCACTTGCGGTACGGGACCACCATCATCAATGGCCTATTTAAAATCAGGTCCTTACGGTGTCAATGGTATCGGTTTGATGTCGACGATGGATCCACTTCATTCGTCGATGGGATATCCTCCAGGTATTTTTCCAGGAAAATTTTCCTTTTTTTTCCCTTTTTTTTTTTTAACTGGATTTTCATTATCGTTTTTTTTTTTTTTTTTGCGTGCGTTCGCGCGCGCGTGTGTGTGTATTCTTTCTTCCTTCACGAAGAAAAAGAAGGGTTGGATGGATTCTTGCTAACCGATCCTGAATGATCCTGTTACCTCATTTGAGTGATTTTTGAGGGTGATGACAACAAACATTATTTTCCCATCAGCAAACGCTTATTAAGTTCACTTGATTCAATCGTTAAAAAAATTTTTTCTCGAGGGAACTTGCACACTTCGTTTTTTTTTTCAACTTGTATTTTTTTTCCTTCATTTTCTCCTCTTCCCTCTCTCTCTCTTCTCTTTTCTACTTCCACTTTTTTTTTTTTTTTTTTAAACTGAATCTTTTTACACAAAGTGTTAAATTTCTTTCCCTCTTTTTTGTGTGCACAATGTACCCATTAAAAACACTTTATTTACTTTTCCATCTATCTATCTATCTTTCTACTTTTTCTTTCTTTTCTCTCTCTAAATACTTTTTTCTTGTTTTTATATATATAAAAAAAATCTACTGCCACTACTAGTTTTTTTTTTTTTTTAAATAAATCGTTCGATAAAGTCACGAAGCGTTAGAAACGTTGAAAAACGTGCGTCAGATGTGTTTTTCCTTTTTTTTTTTTGTTTAATTCAAAGCACCAATTATTATTATTATTATTATTTATATGTTTTTTATTCGTCGGTGACAAGTTTAAGGTACTCCGGGGGGAGAGGGGGGGAAACAAATTTCAACCGAAATAATTTTTTTGTAAAAAACCGCGAGTCACGACGAATAGTAATCACCTTTTTCAACCGTTAATAACCGTCAAATTTTTAATCATAATAATGATAATAATAATTAAAAACATGATTTAGGTAACCCTAGAAAACAAAGGAGAGAAAGGACGACTTTCACACGTGCGCAATTAGACGTTTTAGAAGCTCTTTTTGCCAAAACGAGATATCCGGATATATTTATGAGAGAAGAAGTGGCATTAAAAATTAATTTGCCAGAATCAAGAGTTCAGGTGAGTGAGAAACAGTTATTCATTCTTTTTCTTTCTTTCTTTTAAAACAATCAAAACAAGAATACAAAAAAAGAAAAAATCTTAACGTCGCCGTGGAATGGAGATTTAAAAAAATGTCGTGTCGTATATCTCGCCGATTCTTTTTCCGACCCCTTCTTAAAAACCGTCAACAAACAACAAACGGTAGGAAAAAAAAAAAAAAAAAAACGTGCCGAAACGAGAATGACGAAGAGTTTTATATATATATATATATAACCTAAAGGAGTATCATCATTGTTTAGAGAGAGAAAAAAAAAAAAATAATAATAATAATAATAATAAAAGGGGGCGAGAAAAAACCAATTTGGGGCAACTCTGTTATCGCTTGATTAATGACTTTATTGAATCAATATAAGGGAAGTAAAAGGGAGAGAAAATTAGCCGGTTGGTATTTGATATTAACCGCCTGGAGGCGTTATTGGAAAAGAGAAGAGAAGAGGCGGAAACAACAGCAGGAGTGGCGGCGACGGCGGCGGTGAGTTCATGTCGAGAAATTAATCATGATTTAATTTTATAACTTCCCTTTCTTTTCACGAACAAATCAAAAAAAAAAAAAAAATCAAACGTATCATTGACTTTTATTATTATTATTATTATTATTATGAAAACTTTTGCCTTTTTTTAAACATTTTAAATTGACGGTTTTATTTAAAAGGCGTGTAAATAAGGCGTGACGGTTTCTTTTTGAACAAAAAAATCGATCTGATAATTTTTTTTTTTCTATAAATAAAAGCAGAAGACAATTCGATATTCGTTATTTTCGCGAGTCCTGAAAAATTTTCTCGTATTATTATTATTATTATTTTTCGCAACCCTTAACCTTTCAAAATTTTCACTTGTCATCAAGTGCGTTAAGTAAAAGACCTCCGCCATTTTTTTTTTCTTCTTCTTCTTCTCCTAGTTTTAACCGCCTGAGGGTATAGATAAAAAGCATGACTCGCATCATCCTGTTGTTTTTCCCGTTAGTTTTTTTTAACTTAAACCTCATTTCGAAAAAGTTAATGCAAAAAAAAAAGGTTTGGGGGGATCAAAAGGTCACCACTCACATTCACCCCACTCACACTTCTACACTCGAAACGCACAACCTATTTTTTTTTTTTTTTTTTTTTTTTTTTAAATGGAAGAAGTATATGACCCCTTGGTGAGAGTGAGTGCGAGTTGTGTGTGTTTTTAACACACTCGACAAAATTTTTTCTCTTTCATTTTCATCTTTCCACTCAAATAATAATTCGGGTATCACCTTTTTTCCTATATTTGAAAAACGAAAAAAGGAGAAAAAAAAAGTATTCTTACGTGCGGTTAGTGAGGGTTTTTTTTTTTTAGAAAAAAGAAAAACTCATAAAAACGAATTTTTACGCATCGATTATCATTCACACAACAAACAAAAAAACCAATGTTACTCTCTCTCTCTCTCTCTCTCCTTTTTATCACAGGTTCATCTTTTTTTCCCCTCTCTTTCTCTCGCCCCCCCCTCCGTCCCCTTCCTCCCCCCATTATGGTTTTCAGGTATTCGTTACGATAAATGAAGTAACTTTTTTTTTTTTTAAAGCGACGACGTAAATGAAATTGATAAAAACTTTTGAAAATTTTTTTCTGCTCATTTTATGCGTAGACATGAAATTTCGTGACGTTGAATATATTACCGTACAATTACCCGAAAAAAAAAAAAAAAAAAAAAAAAAAAATTTACGGCGGACAAAATGTAAGAAACCTATATAATAATAATAATAATAATAATGATAATGATAATTTTTCCCAATAAAAATTCAAAGGTGAAAAAAAAGAAAAAGGTGAGCACGAGAAAATTTCATTTTTCACAAAAAACCTGAATTTTGACAAAAAAAAAAAAAAAAAAAAAAAGTAACGTGCCAACAAACAATTGTTACTACGATTCATTCAAAAAATTTCACATGGTAAAAATTTTGTAACGAATAATAATAATAATAATAATAGTAATAATAATAATAATAATTTAAAAATAAAAAAAAAAGAAAAAAAATGGATAATAGTTAATGTGAAAATTTAAATAATTATTTCATTATTACGAGGTACGTACGTTCAGAAACCCGAAAAACCGCGAATTTTAAACCGACCAATCAGAGATCAGGTATATATTTCTCAGTGACGTAATTTTCTAAATAAAACGAAAAATCTTCTGCTATTACCAATTACAGATCATACAGTTCACGGATAGTCAACGGTTTTTTTTTTTTTTGGTGTCTTTTTCATCTTTTTTTTTTTTTAACAGAATAATGATAATAATAATAATAATAATAATAATAATAATAATAATAATAATAATAATAATAATAATAATAAAATTAATTATTAAAATAAATACATTATTTTTATTAGTTTTAAAATTAAGAGTATGAAATAATTTTGTTTTCATCAAGAGAGAGAAAGAGAGGCAATTCAATTTTCTTTTGTATTTTTTTTTTTTTTTATTAACAGACATTTTTCCGACATCATTTTTTCCGTTTCTTTTCATTTTATAATAAATTTTCCTTTTTTTTTATAAAATTGAAATTTCGCGTTATTTTAAATTCGAAAGAACCTTTAATTGTAAATAATTAAATCGAAAAATAATAATAATTATTATTATTACGAATTTTCATTTTGAAAAATTTATTTATTTATTTTCGAAAAAAAAAATTTTACTTTTAGAATTTGCAATTTTTCATTGAAATGAATATTAGAAAAAAAAATTTTTTTTTTTTTTTTTTTACACGTTTGTCAAATCGGAGAATTTAAAAATCATTTTTCGAAAAAAAAAAAAAAAAAAAAAGAGAAAAAAAGGAAAAAAAAAAAAGGAGAAAAATTGTCAATCATCATCTCCGTCCGGTTTACACCTTTTCTCACTACCTGAACTTGTGAATTACCCTGACTATTGTCACTATTATTATTATTATTATTATCATTTTCTATTGTATCTAAAAGTTTCTATACCCTTACAAATAATAATAATAATAATAATAAAAAACAAATAATAAGGCTTCTATTTATATCATATGATTTTATCATGTTTTTTTCTATTCTCTCCTTCTTTTAGATCGCAAAAAAAAAAAGTTTTTAAATGTCGGACAAAATAAAAAAAATTAAAGAGTAAATAATTTTACAACGATGTAGAATTATTTTAAAATAGAAAACAACAACAACAACAACAACCGGAAAATGATTACGTAAAAACAAATAGCAGCAGTAGACAATAAGTGAAGCCGTTTCAATGCCCTGTTTTTACTTGATTAAATAATCAATAACGAAAATAAACCAAAATAAATTAAATTAAAAAATTTTTTTTTCTACTTTGTAATTAGGTCTGGTTTAAAAACAGAAGAGCAAAATGTCGTCAACAGCAAAAGCAACAACAACAGCAACAACAACAACAACATCAAAACAATTCTGATAAATCTTCGAGATCATCAACATCGAACAAACACCAAAAATCAATTTCAAATTCTTTAAATAATTCGATTAGCGGTAGTACTACCCAGTGCAATAAAACTTCAACATCACCAATAACGGCTGCCAATAATAATAATAATAATAATAGTAGTAATAATAATAATAATAATAATAATACGAGTACCAGTTCCTCGGCTAGTTCTCCAGCTATCGTGAGTTTTTTGAACTTTGCAAAAAAAAAAAAAAAATGAACTTTTCTTTCGGATAACTTAAACTTTTTTTTTTTTTTTTGCAGATGGCAGCCAGAGATTCTCCAGTTTATGGCATAAAACCCATTCTCAGCGGCGGAAGTCCATCGAATCCTACAAATTCTTCTTATTCAACGAACAATGCAATATGGAGTCCGGCATCGATCGAACCGAGTTTAGATAGAAGTTCCTATTCTACGATATCTCAATCTAACTGTTACCCGCATCAAAATTACGGGTCTTACTATACAAATATGGATTATTTAGGTTCGGCATCCGCCATGACACATTCTCAACTTAATACAACGGTGAGAAAGCAATCTTTGATTTTCGGGAAACGAAACAGGTTTTACATCGGGCCGTCATTTACGCACATAATTTTTTTTTTTTGCTTTTACAGGATCCTGGACTAGACCCATCATGGCCTAAAAGAGAAGATTGGTTTTATAATGGCTGGGATAGAAAATGAGAAAATTTTCCCGAACCGGATAACGACAGGTACGCGGCGACAGAATCGTATAATAAATTATTCGAATACGCATTTCGTAAAATCCACAACTTTTTACCCTCTACCCTTTATCCAATCGACACCCTTTGCGTTTTAATTCAATTTTACCGCCATCTATAATTTTAAATTGAACTAACGGTTTTAGTTATGAAATTCAACCGGTAGATGTCATTTGTTCAACAAAAAAAACAAAACAATTTTTTTTTTTAAAATTACAAATGTAAGTCACGAATTTCGAAAAAAAAAAATTTCAATTTTTTAATTTTTTTTTCCCCCGTATTTACGTGAATGCAATTAATATTATTATTATTATTGATGAAAACAAACGACAAACGGATATGTACGAACCATATAACAAAAAAAAAAACAAAAATCTTAACGCTCACGAAATTGTTTTTCATTATTATTATTTCACGTAAACAATATAAACTAATTGTTTGTTTTCGAATTTCAGGTTTTTCAATTCGACATGAACGATCAATTTATTCATTTTTCTATTAATTTAACCTTATGTGACATCATCTATCAACTGGATAAAGTAAAAAAAAAACGACAAATCCGTGCACGTACGAGATTTTCTTTTTTTTTTTTGGCATCATAGTAACCGTTAAATAAAATATTTTTTGCCGAAAATTTTTATAAAAAATATTAAAATTTATACTTTATATTATTATTATCATTATTATTTGAGAGAGAGAAAAAAACGTATTGCTCTCTCTCTCTCTATATATATATAAATAAATATAAATAAGCGACTGTAAATTAAAAAAAATTATCGTTAATATAATAAGCGACGGCGACCAAAATATTCGGATTAGCTTACGTTTATCATTATTATTATTATCATTATTATCATCACTATAAATGATAGAAAAGCTTTCGTTTCACACACATAAAACAAAAAAAAAAAACGTGGAAATTTATCATTATTATTATTACTACTACTCTTATTATGTTCTTCAACGATTTTTTCAAGCAACGAATTTTACTTTTTTTTTAACATTAAAAAAGCGACAGAAAACAAATAATAATAATAATAATAATAATAATACTAACAACTCTAATAATAATAATAATAATTGTAATAATGATAATGATAACGATACCGATAATAAAAATTCATAACGTTTTCTTTGTTTTTTTTTTTTTTAAATGTAAAATATATATCATCGCCGTCATAATTATTACAATATTATTATTATTAATACGTATATATCGATTTATTAATTTTTATTTTATTATTTTAACGTGTAATTAAAAAAAAAATTACGTTTAAAAAAAATGCATCGAAATAATAATAATAATAAGAAATTTTTTTATTGATGTTTTTGTCAAAAAAAAAAAAAATTTTTTTGATCATAGCAATATGTGCCATTTTATTAAAATCGAAAAAAAGTAAAGAGAAAATTGTACATATTAATTAGATTAATAATTAATAATTAATAATAATTAATAATTAATAATAATAATAATAATAATAATAATAATAATAATAATAATATTTACGAAAGAAGAAGAAGAAGAGACAAAAAATTTGTAATATAAGAAAGTAATTTTTAGCAAAAAAAAAAAAAAAAATGAAAAAAATGAAAAAAAATTATTTGAAACCTTTTCGTAACTGTTTTTCCCGCCATTACGCGGAAAATATTTTTTTTTTTTTTTTTTTTTTTTTTTTTAAATTAAAATTTTTCGAAACGAAACGAAATCGATAATAATAATTATTTATTTATTTATTTTCATTATTTAAATTAAAAGAATAACAACGGACGGACGGACGGACGAGAAAGGCGTCGTGGAATTAGATAACTTTGTTTACATCTCTTTCTCTCTCTCTCACTCACTCGTATTCACGTATGTGTGTGTGTGTGTTCGTATGTGTATTATTACTTTTTTCGAAATAAAAAATATTTATATTCACAACATTCGAACACGGATTAGTTAACAACGTTTCGTGCGCGAATGTTGTCAATGAAGGGGGGGAGTGAGAAAAAAGAGCGAACGTGTTCGTAAGTATTGGGAAAAAAAGTTTTTTTTTTCTTTTTGAAATTTTACAACGACTAGTCAGTGACTAGTGAATGCGTCACGCGGGATACACGAAAGTTATGTCGGAGATTTTAGTTTACCGGTAAAAAATGCGGGGATTTTATATATTTATTTATTTTTTACTACTCACATTATTAGGTAAGATCCCTTTGATTGATTTTGATTTTTTTTTTTTTGATTTTTGATTTTTTAATTTTAAATTCCGATTAAAATTTTTTTTTGTTTTTTTTTTTTTCTTAAAGGAGAAAAATCATTCTCTCAGGATCTATTTTATTTTTCTAAACAACCCGATAGCGTTTCCGTCAAATCCGGAGAAGCGTTCAAATTGGAATGTAAAGTTTCGCATCAGGACAACATAATTTATTACTGGAATCAAAACGACACGAGATTAAATAATTCCAGTAGGAAAAAACAAATCGGTAGTAATTTACACGTGACGAGAGCGGATCGTTTGCAAGATTTTGGACAATATTGTTGCATTGCCGAAAACGTCACGTCTGGATATTCCATAACGAGCAGAATAGCAAACGTCGAAGTGATATGTAAGTAATCGTAAAATTATTTGATAAGAGATAATATTTCTCTCTCTCTCTCTCTCTCTCTCTCTCTCTCTCACATGCTCTCTTTTTTCGTGATCGGAATATCTACGACAAACATTTCTAACAAACGACAAAGGGGAAGCAATCAATTGATTAAATAAAAAAAAATCCCGAAAATTCCTCAATTAATTCATTTTTTTTTTTTATTTTAAATAAATAAAAAATTTTTTCGTGCATAAAGTATATACAAACGAACGTGGCACCAATCGAACGACGACGATTCATTCCTCGTAATAAATCGATTTGATTAAAACAATAACAGAAAAGAAAAAGTTTTGAAACTTTTCGCGTAATAATAATTTACGATAAAAATATTCGCGATGCGACCGTTAATAATAATAATAATAATGTAATCGGACGTTTTCGACGTGTGATACTCTTTCAGGTTTAGTTTTAGTCACTTTAAACATTTCGAACAAACCGAAAAACCAAAAAAAACATTTTTAACATGCAAACAAAGGCATTAATTATATAATTTTTTATCTCGGATTATTTGCTTTGACGCGGCTTTTAAGATTTTATTATTTGTTTGCCTTAGAGTTTGTTCCTCTTTTCCCCCTACCCTCCCCCCTTCCTCCTCCACACCCCCACACCCCACTCCACCCCCATCCTCTCTCTCTCTCTTTTGTTACAACGCACCGAATATTCTTTTATAAATCAATTTTTTCCATACACATCAGCAAAAAAATTTATTCATTTTCATCGTACGTTACATTTTGTTATTATTTTTTTTAAAACAAAATAAACTCTTGAAACATGAAACTGTTTAAGTGGTTAAATAGTAAAAAGGGTCTTGAAAGATTCGACACGAGGGTGATGGTGGTGGTGGTGGTGGTGATTTAAACTTCCTGTCACACAATCTAATCAAATAAAAAACAAACAAAATCAATCATCAAAACACACTCACACACAAATCGGAAATATTAATCATTCATTCTCGAATATTCTATTAATTCAAAATTTATTATTATTATTATTGTTATCGAAAAAGATTTGTGTGTGTGTGTGTGTGTGAGAAAGAGAAAGAAAAAGGGTACCATCGCACACACAAAACAAAAAAAAAACAACAACAAGAACAACAATCGTATAGTCGAAATTTATGTTAAACTCATAAAAATTCCAAACGTGGCAGCTACCTCGAAGGTGCCTCAATTGAAAAAAAAAAAAAAAAAAAAAAAATTCTTTTAACGATGATGAAAGAGAAAGAATGTCGGATCCGAGGTCTCTCGTTCGGATGTTCAATTAACTCAAAGATGCGTAAATAACGCGAAGGAATAACTTGAAATACCCGGAACGGAATCAAATCCATTCCACCAGGGATGTTTGTTTTTTATAGCCTGAGGGTGCTTTTTTTCTTCTTTTTTTTTTTCTCGTACAGGGTTTCAACAGAATAAAACCGAAATTTTTTTTCTTTCTCTTTCTACATGTTTAACTTTCTCTCTCTCTCTCTCTCTCTCATTCACTCTTTTTTTTTTTGAACTCGCCTACCTGGTTAATACTGATTGAATGATCGTCGTCATGGTCGTCGTCGGCATTATTATTGATGTGAGATTTGAAACATATCCGGAGAAGGGTTGAAATTTAATTTTTTTTTTTTTATTTACCGCCATGTGTTGAGATGTTTTCGGGGATATAGAGAACATGAAAATGCTTTTTACAAAAAAAATACTCGGTGCTTTGTTATGCCTTCGAGGTTAGTTAGTTAGTTAGTTAGTTGGTCGGTTTGTAGGTTGGAATCAACGATCCGAATGCCTCGGAGAATTTTTTTTTTTTTTTTTTTTTTTTCCTAAAGACTTTTAAAGGGTTTTTATGACCTGGAGTACGATTTACAAAATTGTGGCGTATCACCCCCACCCACGCCTCTCTCTTTGCATTGATAAAAGTAGGTACGATACGAAAGAAATTTTTTTTTAATTAATTTTAAAAAAAAGCGAAATTCACATCAGGCATACGATTCATTATTTACGAGGGGATCTCATGTAAAAAAAAAAAAAAAAACTGCACTATCTTTCCACCTTTTTAATATTTTATCAGTCGTAAAAGAAAAAAGAAAAAAGGAAAACTTATTCTATCGTTTCGAGGGTTTCCTTTTATTTTTAGAAAAATCTGATTTAAGGGATTCTACGGGTTGTGTGTGGTACGAGTTTCGTTTAAATACGCTCTTAAGGAAAGGGGATCGAAAATCGTACGAGACCAATTGTTATCCATCGACTGGAGCCCGTAGATTGCAGTAGGGAACATAATCATAAATCGTTCCAACCCTCTTACTATATCTGACGTCCCCGTAATATTTCTATTTCGAAATATAACCGAAACGGGAGTAACAAAAAAAAAAAATCTTTTCTATATTACGTATATATATAGAAATCCATTCGGTGTCGTGTATTTAGAATTAAAATTCGTTAAATCCGTTTTCGAACCCTTCGTTTTTATTTTTACAAAAGTTTTTTTTTTTTGACGTCATTTCCTTTCAGTGATTACGTATTTAATTTCGTTATCAATTATCATTTCGATTTAATTAAATATAAACGCGTCTTGTTGTTTTTTTTTTTTTTTGTCATCCATTATCATTATATAGGGAAACAAACGAATTCGATTTCGGATTTAATTTTTTTTTTAAATTTTTTTTTTAAAATTCCATATGAGACACGAATCGAAGATTGAAAACAAAAAAAAAAAAAACGACGAAATGATAATGATAATAAAACAAAAATAAATATTTAATTTAAACTCTAACCCATTAACAAAAGACGAGCCATCAAACACACACAAACACAAACACAAAGAAAATTAAATCTTACGTGCTCGAAAACTGAAATCGTTTTATGTAAACCGCATTTAAAATAAAACAAAAAAAAAACCGTCCGTTAATTCGATAAATCGTTTCGATCGATCGATTTTTTAAAAAATTCGATATAAACATTAAAAAAATTCGGTGGCAAAAAATTAAAAAAAAAAATTCCCAAATTACAAATAACAATTTTTTTCATTTAATGATACTCGTAGTATTTATTATTATTATTATTATTATTATTATTATTATTATTATTATTATTCTCATCACTGCTTTAATTTCATTCTATAAAAATTATTATTATTATTATTATTAAAGTCGTAAATCGAACGTTAATAAATTAAGTAGAAAAATTATTCTGGATGTTTTAGTTTAGGAAAATGCGTCAGAGTCTGGAGACTCCGGCAACGGATTTCCATTTGAGAAAAAATTGTAAATTGAATCAGTCGGTCGATAGTTAAACACGTGCGAAACGGTTTAAATAAAATAAAAACTCAATGGGAACGGTATTAATTTGTAATAAAATTAAAATAAAAAAATAAAAATTTTTTTTTATTATAGTTTTCTGCCAGTGATGAGAAAAAAAAAAAAATAAAAAAAGAAAAAAAAAAAAAAAATTAACCGACGTATCGTAAATTTTTAATTAATAAACGCATTCGACTAATTAACCGGATATCTGGACTTTATTTTTTTTTCCTCCATTTTAAAATGAGAGTTTCGAATAATGATGATGATGATGATGATGATAATGTTTCATCTCTTACGTACTATCTATCATTCACGATAGAAAACATTCGCGTTTTTATACCGTAAACACGCACGTACACACACACACACACGCGCGGGAGTATGAATTTTTAAAGGGAGCAATTCGAATTTTCCGTTTTTTTTTTTTTTTATAAAATGTTACATTTATACGTTTGCTAATAATCAACTATTACGACAATTTAAAATATTTAGTTTAAAAAAAAAAAAAAAAAATTATCACTAATCGCATACCCGCCGTTTCCGTTTGCTGGAAACGTAATTTTTTTTTATCTAACGCTTTAAAGACGTTTGAAAAGCAGAAGACGTAAAGAAAAAAAACAATAATAATAATAATAATAATAATAATAATAATAATAATAATAATAATAATAATTTTAAATAAAATAAAATAATTAATGTATAAAAAAAAAAGAAAGAAAGAAAGAAAGAGAGAAAAAAAAATTGACTTAATAATAACTTTTTGTTATTATTGTTATTATTATTATTATTATTTTCTTTATCTGGTGGTTAGTAATAAAAAAAAAAAAAAAAAAAAAAATTAGTTACGCACACCAAGAATCCGATTTGTGTGCTTTTCATCCGTAATTACAATTTTTCACGATTCAAATGATTTGTTTTAATAATCGAATAATATTTTTAGGTTTTTGTCGGACATCTTTGTCGTCGTCGACGTTTCCACCTTTTTTTTTTCTTTTCTTTTCTTTTCTTTTCTTTTAAAGAAAAAAAAAAAAAAAAAAATTACAATTTCTTGTCATTTATTCCAGAAAACAACAAACGCGACAACTCCCTCCTCTCCCAACAAACTCCTTCTCCCTCTCTCTCACTCTCTCTCTCTCTTTTACGCACACTTAAAAAAAAAAAAAAAAAAACTCTCCGATCTTTTCTACTAATAATTATAAATTTCCCTCCCGCGTTTTTTTATACAGCGCTATATTATTAATTACACGTTACGTTTATATATATAAATAAATAAATAATAATAATAATAATATTTTTTTATAGTTTTTTTTTTTAAACGCGTCACGGATTTATCCACATCTTCTCGGTAATTTTCGTTTTAATTTCGAAAAGAAAAAAAATTAAATTAAATATCGTTAAAGAATTAAATTGGCGTTAATGAATTTTTTATAATTAAAAAAAAAAAAAAAAAATTGATTGATATTTTATTTTATAAAAAGTAATTAAGAATTTTAAATTTTTCATTGTTTTTCACCCATCGTATTACCAAAAACGGTAAATTTAATTAAAAAAAAAAAAAATGTATCTACCGTCAATTTTCAAAATGAAAATAATAAAAACAAATTATTTATAATTATACCGAATCGATTATTATTATTATTAAAAGGGCACACAATCCCTTTTTTCTTTCCCTTTGATAAAAAAAAAAAAAAAAAAAAGGAAAACGAATACATAAAAGAGAGAGAGAGAGAGAGAGAGAGAGATGAAAATACATCATCTGACTCATGAAATTCCACATAGAACAATAACAAAGCAAAAAAAAGTTTTACCCCACATGTAAAATTTTTTTTTTTTTTTTTTTCAATAGTCGTGTGAGTCAGTCAGAAAACGGTCATAAAATTTTCCAAAAAAAAAAAAAAAAAAAAAAAAGTTTTATTATAAGGGAGGGAAAACAAGGGTTACACGATCAAGAACACACACACACACACCATCTCGCTAATTGTGTTTTTTTTTTCTTTGTCTTCTGGAAAATTTTTGTTTTAAACGTCCCGACTCGAATTATAATAAAAAATTATTATTATCAATTACCTTATGTTATTATAATAATTTTCCTTCTCCAAACCATTTTTTCAAAAATGTCATTTTCCTCCAGAATCAAATCCAAACCTGAAATGAAAAAAACGTTTATTTTTTCTAATAAAAGACTGTGAATGCTTGTTTGTTTGCGTTTAAATTATGCAAAAACGTCCAGACGACGATGTAAATCTCCAGTCATTTCAGGTAATAAAATAAAATACAAAAAAAAAACTGTCGCCGCGTATATAAAAAAAAAACTACAAATAGTAGTATTATTATTATTATCATCATTTACTTATTTATTTATAAAAATAAAAACGCGTTCAAGGGAAAAAGCAAAACGCGAAATAGTTTTTTCCTTTTTTTCTTTTTTTATATAAATTTTACTTTCGTCGTCGTCGTAAAGGAATAAACATTTAAAATGTCGGTTGTTTGTTATGATGAGTATGAGAGAGAGAGAGTATCATTGTTTGTTATGATGACTTATCGAGAGAGAGAGAGAAAAACCAAAATCGATTTCGATATTTATTTATATGAATCGGCGGTTGAAAGGCTCAGTTTAAGCTCAAAATATACAAAAAAAAAAAAAAAAATTGTTGTTGTATATCATTATTTGTTATCGTAATACCGGGATTACCGTTTGTTGGTTGGAAGGAAGGAAAAATCATCATTATCATCATCACCATCACCATCACCATCGTCACCCCGTCATAACGCATCGATTACAATAAATATCAAACATATATTGATAGATAGGATAGGATGGGATAGGATTAGATGGATGGATTTTATGTAAAAGATGGAAAACAGATATTTTTTTCAAACGAACCACGAAAGTTAATAAACCAGACGAAAGAAAGAAAGAAAGAAAGAAAAATAAATTTCGGTATTTTCCATTTACATAAAAAAAAAAAAAAAATGGACTCCCCGTAAAAAAAAAGGGAGGGGGAGAGAAAATTAAGCAATAAAATTAAAAAAAAAAAAACACATGTTTTGAATCAAAATGGAAAAAAAAAAAAAAAAAAAAAATTTTATTCCAAAATGTGTTTACGTTATTCTTATATACACGCGCACACACACGCACGCACACGCACACACACACATATATAAATATAATAAAAATAAGTCAGTCACGTGGTTTGTAAATTTTTTTTTTTTTTAAATGAATTTTAATAGTAGTCGGTCATGATTTGGGAAAATAATAATTTTTTTGATTAATTTTAATAATTTATTACGAACTTAATAATAATAATAATAGTTTCATTTGCGTTCGATACGAATAATAATAATAATAATAATAATAATAATAATAATAATAATAATAATAATAAGAACAAAGAAATTTACTTAACGTTTGTTTAAAAAAAAAAAAAAAAGAAAAGAAAACCGGTTTGAAAATAAGCTAGGGCTGAAATAAATGAAAACTATAAGAACACATGGGCCATAAAAGTTTATAGGCCGCGGGGATCGACCGGTTTCCATGGCAATGCCACTTAACACTTTACTCTCTTTCTCTATATTCTTTTTTACATTTAAGTTCTTTTTTTTTTAAGAAGAAAAAAAAAGTAGATTTAAATCTCGGAATATTTTTTTTTTTTCGTCTTTTTCTTCCTTCCGTTTCCGCTTTCCCAAATTAAATACATTTTTTTTTTACAATGTTAAACGTTAGTAATCTCGTCAGGTTCCGGTTTTACTACTCATTCGTCATTTAAACGCAACAAAATAATTTTATTTTTATTTTTTTTTTTTTTTTACCCTCAGGGTAGCGGTAGTCGTAGTTGTTGTTCACATGGTATACAAGAGGCGCCTTTTTTTTTTTTTTTCTTCAATACCCACATTTAACGTTTTCTATGTAATTAAGTCATGTAATTATTATTATTTTTTTTTTATTTTTTTATTTTTCCCATTCATCGGAACGAATCGTTTTAATAAAATTCTTTTTTCAACCTTCTACTCCCCTTCCCCTCCCCCTCCACCCTGATTTTCTTTTTAAACGTTTATACGTATACGGATTTTATTGTTATATAAATATAATTATTATCATCGAATTGATATTGTTTCTTTTCTTTTTTTTTTTTAAAAAACAGGGCTGGGAAAAAATGCGACGGTTCAACTTCAACATCCGACATCGGAAAAAGAAATAGTGAATGGACAAGACATAACTTTAAAATGTCTGGTAGAAGGAAATGGTGAAATCAAGTACGACTGGTTCAGGTAATAATATTATTATTATTATAAAATGGTCATTTAACGTACGGGAATTCTTTTCATCTCGTCCCGACTGTATAAACCCGGGTCGTTAATTTACAAGAGAGAGAGAGATGATGTATCCCAAAATAAAAGAGATGCTGTAAACTCTCTCACACACACACACACACAAACAAAAAAATCTTCCGTGGAATTTCCTTTCATAATTTAATTCTTTTTTATTACAAAATTATAAACCGCGGCAAATAACAAAAAAAAAAAAAAAAAAAAAAAAATTGCGGTTTTAAAATTCCATTTCGTACTCTTTCGTCCGTGTTTTTTTTTGTTTTTGTAAAGTTGGTAAACATCGAAATTAATTTTTCCCCACTACCACCACGCGCCCCATCACCCCGCGATTAATACAAATAAATAAAATAAAATTTTTTTTTTAAATTTAATTCACGTTAATCGTAAACAACCGGAAATTCATAATTTTATACAAAAAAAAAAAATTATTAATTTTAAATGTTCACGTTTAGATTTCACGGTTTTTAAAAAATTCAATAGGTAATAAATCATAATAATTATTTATATATTACGTAATTATATTTAAAAAAAAAAAAAAAAAATTTCGGATTTTTAAAAAGAGCGAAACAAAAAAAAAAAAATAAATAAAACATGGCGATTTGAAAAATTACAAGCATAAAGTTTTTTTTTTTTTTTTTTTTTTTGATGTGGTCATGCGTTTTCATGCGTGAAACGAACATATTTAATAAAAAAAAAATTTGTTATGTTTATGTTTTTTGTTTTGAATTTTTAGAAATAATGAACATTTGGTAAAGTTTAAAGGGAAAAAAATTCACGTCAAAGATGTTTCGCCGTCGAATAATGGAGTGTATCGTTGTGTCGCGCACAACGATGCAGGTACAGCTGAAAGTTTTAAAAATTTCATTTTGAAAACTTCCGGCGTTTTATATCCTCGAATTAAAATCCCACCGAAAGATGTTCTCGTTAAAAAAGGATCGAATGTTATGTTTGACTGTTTGTTTGATGATTCCGTCAAAACAAAATGGTTGTTCAACAACGAAGAACTCGAAAAAAACGATTCAAAGAGGTAAATAAAATATATATATATATAAATTTTTTTTCTTTTTTTTTAAAAATTTAATGACAAAAAACACGAACCGGATGGAAACATGAAAGAAAAAAGTGGTAGAGTAATAAACTTCAAAAAGGGAGAGAGAGAAAAAGAGAGAGAGAGAGAGAGAGGGATATTATTTTTAGCATTACTTCTCCTGGCTCCTGGTTTTTCCCTACGCGGTTTTTTTTTTCTTTATTATGTTTATGTTTTAATAAATATTTAAACTTTTTTTTTTTTTTTCTTCATGTAAGTGTGCATTGCCGAACGGATTCAAAAAAAAAAAAAAAGGGTGAATTCGAATTTATAGTAAACAAATTTTTTTACCGCCCTTTCCTAATACCCCCCCTCTTCCCAACTCCCCGCCTCGCCCCGGACCCGCCCCCCCCCCGAAAAAACATCGTTTTGTTGATTTAATGCCATTAAAAAACTTTAAAGAAAGATATATATAAATGTTTATTTACATGTTTTTTTTTTTATGTTTTGTTTTGTTTTTGTTACAGGGAAATTTTAAAAAATGGAACTCTCGTACTAAAAAATGTTGATTTTACCGACGAGGGTTTTTATTCATGTCAAGGAATCAATAAAATCGATGAAACAAATAAAAAAATACAAACTTATTCTGCCAAGTTAAAATTGAGTTGTAAGTTTTTTTTTTTTTGGGTTTTTTTGTTTTGAAATTTACCGAAAAAACAAAATTAAAAATTAAACGAAAACAAACAAAATATAGTTTTAGAAGAATTAACGGAAAATTCAGTCGAACCGATTCCTATGCAATCGGGTCGCATTCTAGTGACACGAGAAATGAGACCTTTTGAAGTGACTTGTTACGCACCGAAATCCCTTCCCCCGGCAAAAGTTTGGTGGGAAAATGAAAAGGGTAAAATCGTGTCATTGTCCGATACGATTCGGTCAAATTTATTATTTAAAACTCCAAGAGGTGATACGGATAGCGGAAAGTACACGTGTTTTGCTGAAAATTTATCTGGAAAAACTAACACGACCATTCAATTGATAGTTTCTGGTAAAGTTTCAAAAAGAGCGTTTTTTTTTAGTTTTAGTTTTAGTTTTTAACGTAAAAGATTAATGGAATTTTTTTTTTTTTTTTTTTGAATAATTTTAGTATCTCCGGTTATATCGCACGAAACAAAACATTTAACCGTTGACGAAGATGATCCTTTCACTCTTCACTGTTCTTTCAAAGGCACACCTTTCCCTGCATCGACCATAAGATGGAAAAAGGACAAAAAATATATTAATCACGGGAGGATGGTGATTAGTAAAACAAATGAATCTTTAACGATTCGTCAAGCGCAACCATCTGATCGGGGAATTTATTCTTGCGAAGTTAACACAACCGGATTCAAACCCGTGGATTCAAAAACATACGATGTGAAAATCATCGGTATTCAAAGAATGAATGAATGAATGAATGAATGATAAAATTATTACTAATATTATTATTAATAAGTTTTTAACGACTACGACTTGATGTAATTTTTTTTTAGAAAAACTCAAATTCATACCTCGACCGGTTTCGAAAAAATTAGAATTGGGTGAAGTTGCTAAAATACCCTGTAAAGCTCAAGGCTCACCCACGCCAAACGTTCGGTGGATAAAAGAAAACGTTTTCGACGAAGCACTTCCGGCACACGTTCACGATATAAATGGAACGCTTCATTTCGATATCGTCTACACGACGGATAAAGGAAAATATTTATGTATAGCAAGCAGTAGTCAAGGAAGTATAAATGCTTCTGTAGAAATTGATGTCATAGGTTGGTAAACTTGTATTTTTTACACGGTCGAGCAGGTAAAGGAAAAATTTAAAATTTGTTATTTCAGTGGCGCCGAGATTTAAAATAAAACCTCAAAATCCTACAGAAGTTGCCGAAGGGTATTCGATAATGCTTCATTGTATGGCAACGGGAGATCCGATCCCGACGATAAAATGGGATAAAAACGGTGAAATGATCGTTTTGGACACGGAAAGATTTGAATTTTTTGAAAACGGAAGTTTACTACTGCGTTACGTCAGAGAGGGAGACAAAGGTATTTACGGTTGCACCGCCGGAAATAGTGGAGGATTAAAAAGAGAAGAAGCGTTATTAGTAGTCAAAGGTATGTCGCAAATGATATTTTTTTTATAACCGTTTACTTTAAATTAGGAAAAAGAAAACTTAAATGATCAGGTTTAGATAAGTATCAACCGAATGAAAATTCAGAATCGGATGATTCCATGATGACAAAAACTGTCACAATAACATTATCGGCAGCAGCCGCTTACATGATATTGGTGATTGGTCTTATGGTGTGGTGCAGGTACAGGAGAAGAAAAAGAAAAGAAGCTTATTTGAATGCGAGTCCCGAAAATATTTTGCGTAAGTTTTATTTAAGTCTTATGGGGGGGGAGGGGGGGGAAAAAGAAATTTATAATAATGAAATGATTTGTTTTACACAAGTGGCAAAGACTGAAAATGGGGATGCTTTGGCCCAAGAAGGTGAAAAGGAAAAAAATTGCGAAATCAAACATGAAAATGGTCGGAAAAGTGATGGAACTGAAACGACTCATTCGCAAAGTTCTAGTCATAGCAAACGTTCTTCAAAATCTAATCAATATGAAAAACTTTCTTTCTCAAGGCAAAATTTAAATGATTTAAGACTTATAGGTGTGAAAAATGAGAATTTAACCTTATTTTTTTTTTTTTAAATTTTTCCTTCTAGAAAAATTAATTTTTAATAATAATAATAATAATTAAATTTTTTAAGGTCATGGAATATTTGGCCAAATCTATGTAGCTAAGACTGAAAATTTATCTTCACCAGTAATTGTTAAAGCTTTACTAAATGTTAAAAATGAAAATGCTTTAATCGAATTCAAAAGAGAGACTGATATGTTTTTTAGACTTTCACATGAAAATGTTGCCAAAATTTATGGCTTGTGCAGAGATGCTGAGCCTCATTACATGGTTTTAGAATACACAGACTGGGTAAGAATGAATGAATGAATGAATGAATGAATGATTGATGAAAAAAAAATTTTAATTATATAATTATTTATAAATACCTTAATCCAATAAAGTTTCCTTTTTTTTTTTTTTTTTCTTTTTTCACTAGGGAGAACTGAAACACTTTCTTCAGACAACTAAAAAAGAAAGAAGTAAATTATCAATAAGTCAAATATTAGATTTAGCAAAACAGATAAGTATTGGCATGGAACATTTGTCGAATGCCCGATTTATTCATAAAGATTTAGCAGCTAGAAACTGCATATTAACATCAAATTTTAAAGTTAAAGTTTCCCTTATCGGATTATCAAAAGATGTATATAAAGATGATTATATTCAATACTACAATCAGGTAATAATAATAATAATATTTTTAATAATAACACTGTCAGTACAATCACACAATATCTTTCAAAACATATTTTCAGTTGCTACCCATAAGATGGCAGCCGTTTGAAGCCATTTTCGAAGATGATTACTCGACAAAATCAGATGTTTATTCATTTGGTGCATTGTGTTGGGAATTATTTAATCAGGGCGAACAACCATTTTTTGGCATTCCTGATTCTACTGTAACTGAAAAATTACAAAGTCAGGAATTGAAATTATTGCCGCCAAAAAATGCACCGCCTAAAATTTCAAATATTTTAAATAATTGCACATCTTATAATCCTAGAGAACGGCCAACATTTAGCAGCATAGCCATTTCACTAGAAGAAGCTTTGAAAGATATTTAAAGTTACAAAAAAAAAGGGGACATTTTTTTAATTTAAATAAATTTACATTTAGTAATAAATTTTTATATGTAAAAAAAAATATATAAATATTAATTATTACATAAAATAAATTTTCTTATATATTCTATTAAAATTTTTTTTTACATGTTTCATATGAATAGGTTAAGAAATTTAATAGGTTATATAAATAATTTAAAAAAAAAAAAAAAAAAAAAGCCAACATTAATCATTTAAATTATGTAAAAAAAAAAAAAAAAGCCTATGATTTATTTTTAATAAAATGATTTCTACAAAAGTTTTACTATCGTTTGAAAAATTCATTTTTTCTTAAGCAATTCTATTATTATGTTTTATCTTTTATTTAATTAAAATAAATTTATGTTTAATAATTCTAAAATTTCACTGTGAAAATTTAAAATTAAAATATTTGTTGTTAAAACCTATGAAATTCAAAATTAATTAAAAAAATAATAAAAATACAAAACAATAAGTGAATATAAAATTTACTTGTATCTTTTTTCTTTTTAGTAACTATAAAATAAATTTATCAGTTGTGCCAACATAATTCAGACTAATAAAATACTGCCTTCAATCTATTCTTTTAAATTTTAATATAATAAAATTATTTTTTGAAAAAAATGAAAAAAGGGTAAGAAAAAAATTTTTTTTTTTTTTTTTCAAATCTATTTTATAAATTTTTACTTAATTAATTTCAAGGTAATATTTATAATTTACAGATTGATTTAAACATGCATCCACTTCAGAAGAGTGTTGATGAAATTAAGGAATTAGATAAAGATCCTTTCAAAAACTTGAAAATTAGTGATACTAGCATATTAGACACTGTCGATGAAAGAAGTTTATGTAAAAAGTGTAACAAATCGAGAAAATATTTTTGTTATGTTTGTTATATTCCAGTACCTCACTTGGAAGGGAAAATTCCAAAGGTGTCTTTACCAATAAAAATTGATATAATTAAACATAAAAATGAAATAGATGGAAAAAGTACATCAGCACATGCTGCAATTTTGGCACCTGATGATGTCAGAGTATTTACATACCCTACAGTACCAGAATACAGTGCAAATGACAATGTTGTATTAATATATCCAAGTTCAAAAGCGAAAACGATTAAAGAATGTTTCGAAGAAAATTATGAATTACTTAAAACGAATGAATTTCCATTTACAAGGGCTGTGTTTATCGACAGTACATGGAATCAAAGCAAAGGAATTTTCAAAGATGAAAGAATAAATACATTGCCTGCAATAGTTTTAAAAAATAAAATATCACAATTTTGGAGGCATCAGAAAAAAAGTCCAAGATGGTATTTAGCAACTATAGAAGCTATACATGAACTATTGATTGAAATGGTTAATGAAAGATGTGACATGATTAAAAGAAAAGAAAGTGAAACACATGTGGACAATAGAACATCATCTGGTTATTCATACAATGGACAATATGATAATTTATTATTTTTTTTTAATTACATGTATTCAAAAATTCATGATTTATATGATCATGATTCATTACTTTCTTATAAAAGATCATTAGAATAATAATAATTGATATAAATTTAAATTTGTTTTAAATTATATTTTATCAAGTTTTAACCAGAAATGGAATGTGAAAACCCAATGTCAGTAAAATTATCAAATTAAATTTTACAAACTATTTTGAACATTACATTGTAAAAAGTTTTTAATGAAAATAAATAAATAGAATTTACCCTAATATCAATGAAAATTACAGCAATTTCGAATATATTGCACTAAAATGAATTTTAAAAAAAAATTTATTAATTTAACTTAACTAACATGAAACCGCGTAAAAAACGGAAAACTGCAGTATTTTACGGAAAATAGTTGGCACCACTGTACCCGGAGTCTTTGGGGAACTCAACATGGCGGTGAATGATTATAAATATTAATAATCATTTATTTTATCAATAAGTTTTTATTAAAATTTTTGTGAAATTCGACATTTAAATTAAATTTTAAAAAGAAGATATTTTTCCGTATAAAATATACTTATCGTTAATCGTAATTATTCAAATTGTTATTGAAAAATGCCGTAGTTTATTTAAAAATATGTACATTATTTTAAAAATATGAGGTTTTTTATTTGTGCCAAGAATTTTAATATTAATTTTTTATCGTCATTTCTTGCACAAACGCAATAAATATAGAAAAATATTACAAAACTGTCATGTTAAAATTTCACGCATTTTTTTAAATGACAATCAATTAAGTTCAAGAGTAATTATTATATTTCCTAGCGGAATTTAACAGATGATTAATTTTCAATAAATCGTGCTTTGTTTAAACTACTACCCAACCCAAAATACTTGAAATAATGTTGAATAAAACTCTAAATGTCACAGGGAAATATATTTAAAAGAATTTTTTACAAAATGACCAATCAAAGAGTTTTTAAATGGAGATTTTGCTTTATCGGCTTATCATTTGTTTTTTTATTATTATTATTTTACTTAAAATTAAATGAATATAAAACTTATAATGGGAAAAAAGGTAATAATTTTGTACATAATGAAAAAAAAAAAAAAACGCATCTTATAAATATTTCATAAATTTAAAATTTTTTAATATTTTTTTCTAGACTCATTAATATTGAGGTTCAATGAAAAGACTGCAGTTGATGTGATTCCATATAAAGTACCACCCTTAGCCAAGTCTGAGGATATAGTGGTTATTTACAATAGGGTGCCAAAAACAGGATCTACTAGTTTTGTGAATGTAGCTTATGAATTATGTAAAAAAAATCATTTTAAAATCCTTCACATAAATGTGACGGGAAATTTGCATTTGCTATCAATGAAAAATCAGGTAATTATAAATTAATATTACTAAAAGTTTCAAAAATAATTTTTAACCATTTGATTTAACTATTAATTTTTTTTTTGTTTTTCAGATAAAATTTGTACACAATGTTACAGAATGGGATGCTATGAAACCTGCTTTGTATCATGGCCATATGGCATTTATAGATTTTAAAAAATTTAGAATAGACAAAACTCCTTTGTATATAAACATTATTCGAAAGCCGTTAGATCGTTTAGTTTCATATTATTATTTTGTCAGATATGGTGATAATTATCGTCCGAATCTTGTTAGAAAAAAACATGGTGATAAATTGTCATTCGACGAATGTGTTGCCAAAAACATGCCAGATTGTAATTATGATAATATGTGGCTTCAAATCCCATTTTTCTGCGGTCATGCAGCAGAATGTTGGGAAGTCGGAAGCAATTGGGCATTAGAAGAAGCTAAAAGAAATTTGGTGAGAAATTATTTTGCTGTTGGTGTGACTGAAGAAATGGAAGAATTTATAAGACTTATGGAAATGATTTTACCGAGAATGTTCAAAGGTGCAACACAACATTATTTAAATAGTAAGTAATATTTCATTTGTAATCTTTTGAATTTTTTTTTTTGCGGTCGAAAACAATTCTAAAATGATTGAATTTTTTGTGTGCATTCGAAGGTAACAGATCACATTTGAGAGAAACAACACAAAAAGTCATGCCTTCCGAAACTACAGTGGCTAAAATACAAAAGAGTAAAGTTTGGGAAATGGAACAAGAATTTTATAATTTTGCACTTCAGCAATTTAAATTTAGTTTAAGAAAATTAAACATAAAACGTGAATCGAATAATCCGAATGAAAAAGAACAAATATTTTTTTATGAAAAAATAAGACCCAAGTAAATATGAACACATCCATAAATTTTTTTTTTCCATCTTTAAAAAAAAAAAAAAAAAAAAAAAAATAGTTCAAATCTTAAATGCAAGTAAAAAAAAAAAAAAAATTGAATCGAACAATTATTATTATTACCATTCTTTATAATTATTGTAATATATAAAAAAAAAAAAAGTTAGAAATTAGATAATTTTTTCTCTATTTTAAAGCCATTAGTGACTTAAACTCGGTCAATTTTTTTTTTATAAGCGCTATATTAATTATTATTATTATTATTATTATTTTATATATTTTACTACAATTTTTTTATTTTTCCACATCCGAGAAAATATTGCTTTTAAAAAAAAAAAAAACTTTGCTTTTATATTTAAAATCTGCATAATTACTTATACCAGTGAATTACTTAATAAATGTATGTATGTATGTAAATTACGTGCATACATTTATTTAATTTATTTATTTATTTATTTATTACTTAATTTCTTTTTTAATAAAAAAAAAAATCAATTATTTAATATTACATTTCAAATATTTGCTCAAGAAAGCGTAAAATCGACATTTTTCTTTTTTTTTTTTTTTTCAAATAAAATGTATCGAATTATTTTTTTAATTTTTTTTTATTTTTATACTCTTTAATTATTATTATTATTATTATTATCATCGTCACGTTAACATTATAAAAATGACTGATGAACTCTCGAATGTAATTTTCCGTTTCAAATTTATTTAGTTTTTGTAACGAACAGAAAAAAATAAAAAAAAATATTTATACACTTTCTCTAAACATATCAAATTTTTATTTATTATTATTATTATTATTATTATTATTATTATTATTATTATTAAATTGTAAAATTATTGTTTTTTTTTAAATAACTCAATCAAAAAAAAAAAAAAATTAATTAATTATTAAGATGATTTTTTTATTATTATTACAAAATACTTAAATTATTTTTTAATTTTTTTTTATTTATTTATTTTCGAAATAATAATAATAATTATTATTGATAATATCGTTTGTAAAATCGATAATAATAATTATAATGATAATTATTTTATTTAATTTATTTATTGATTGATAAGTTTGAGAGAACGAGAAAAAAAAAATGGAGTACTGTAAAATTATTTTTATAAATATTATTTAAATTTATTATTATTATTATTATTATCGTTGATTTGACATAATAATAATTTATTTTATTATTGATAATGCGTATTTAAACGTAGTTAAAAAAGATAGAAAATTATTTATTGAGGTTATACAAACATAAGGAGAAAAATTTTTGTTAAAAATGACACAAAAAAAAAAAAAGCATCCCTTTTTAAATAATAATCTTCGACCTATTCGCACCTCTCAATAGACTTAGTTAACACGGATTCTCATATTACATCCTTTTTTTTCTCCTTTTTTCCAGCTCCTCCCTTTTTATTTTGCGATTTTAAAGAGAGAGAGAGAGAGAGAGAAAAATTTTTATTTTAAATTTTAACAACCGGGAGAGGAAAAAATATTATTTAAAATAATATTAATTTAATTTAATTAGTGTGAGAGAGTGAGAGAGAGAGAGAGAGAGAGAGAGAGAGTTTTACTTATTTGAAAATAATTTTTTTTTTAAGTTTAAACCTTTTAAAATATGTAAAATAATAATAATAGTAATAGTAAAGGTTACTACGTTTTGTAGTGTTTGATCTTTAAATCCGCATCATCTAACTTGTAGTTTAGGGGGTTTTTATGTGTGTGACATCACATATGATGCAGCTTAGCTTGTGTAATCCTCTTGATTGTTTAAAATGCAATTGTCTGTGTAAGAACCTTTTGTGTTATTTTTTCATTTAAAAAATTTTTAACATTGTTCCTTTTTTTTTGCGTCGATGGGAAATGTAGTTTTTGTCTGGTAATCGTAATTTCATATTGAAATTACACATCAAACAGACATTATAATAAAAAAAAAACTTTTTTTACAAATGCAAAAAAAATTATATAATAAAAATTTTGTAATTTGATAATTATTAGCCGTGAATTTTTTTTTTTTTTTTTGTTTGCAAAAAATAAAATAAAATAAACTACATCTGTACGAAAATATATTATTATTATTATTATTATCATCATTGTTATTTTTGGTGAGAATTACCTGTTGACTCAAAAAAAAAAATTATTTACTTAACAAATTTACTAAAACCGATTTGTCAAGAGGAAAAAAATAAAAATATTTTGATAGAATACAATAAGGTTATTGTTAAACTCATGTCGGTATACTAGGACCGCCACCACTACCACCCCCACCACCCCTGTCACCACCACCACCATCACTACCACCACCGGTTTACATCAAAAGGGTTGTCGTTAACTCATTCAAAAAAAATTCAATAATAATATTCAAAAAGAAAAAGAAGAAGAAGAAGAAAGAAAATTCTCACAATGGAATCAAAAGAAAAAAAAGAAAAGAAAAAAGTTCGAAAGAGAGAGAGAGAGAGAGAGATAGACAAAAAGACGGAGTAAAAGAGCTTTTTGAAAAGAAAGAGAGAGAGAGAAATATATTAAAACCTACCGAAAAGAACAAATTTTTCTCTCTTTTTCTTTTGCTCCTTTTTCATGAATGAAAACGTATTCGTTTATTTTATTTTTTTTTTTACAAACAATATAAATTATTATTATTATTACTAAACTATAATAATAATGATAATAATAATAATAATAATTTAAAACATGTAGTTTTGATAATTTTATTCCTTATCACGATTTATTATGGAGATATTAAACGATCTCCATGTTGTTTTTTTTTTTTTTAAATTTAATTCCACGTGCATATTTACGATGATGACGACGACAAAAGCAGAAGACAAATTAAAAAAAATAAATAAATAATCGTTATCTCGTATATATGTGTATATAATGGGTAAATCATTTAAAACAAATTTATTTATCAATTGTAAAAAATCAAATGATAATGATAATAAGGATTTTTATTTAAATGGAAAATTATTAACAAAACAAATATTATATAAAATTATTAATATTAAAAAAAAAGGTTAAATACTATTATTATTATCATTAACAACAACAACGCCGTGATTTTTTTAATTAATAATAATAATAATAATGATTTTATTTATAGCTTTTCGTACGATCATTCAAACGATATTCGCCGTTATTTTAATTGGAACATCCGGTTACGTTAATTACACGGAAAATTTTTCAATTTGGTTTCTCACTCTGCATTTTTTTATAATTTTATTATCCGGTATTATCATTATTATTATTTCGATATATCGATTATTAAATATCGTCGATAACAATATTAAAAATTTTATTATTTTTATTATTTCAGTTGGTGGATTTTGTTTGATGATAACGAAAAATCCAAAACACGTAATAAATTATTATTATTATTATTAAGTTTGTGAATGATGATGATGACGATTAATTCTAATTAAAATAAATTAGTGTGATAATAATAATAATAATAATAATAATAAAAACTATGGAAATGTCGTAGGTGGGAAGAAAAACAATTGAAAAATTGAAAAAATTAAAAAAATTAAATAACGTTATTGTTCCGTTAATGTCGAATCAATTCAAGGGAGAAAATTATCAAAGGGATAAAATCGAATCAAACGATTATTATTATCAAATCGTTAAAATAAAAAAAAAAGGTAAGTCATTATTATTATTATATTATTACTAATTGAAATTAACTTCCTTTTTTACTAATTTTTACAATTGTTATTATTATTATTATTATTTAAAGGTAAAAAATCAAAAAATCGATTAGATTCCAGTAAAATAAAATAAAATAATGATTGATAAGAACGGGTGCGTGTTTTTTTTTTTTTTTTTTTTTTTTTTTTTTAATGTGATATATTATCGAATCGAAAATATATCGATTATTATCGATTATTTTTTTTTTTTCACAAAGGAAATTATATCGATTCCAAAAAATATCCGGGATGGGGATAAAAAAATACCTGAATGGAAAAAAGTCATTCCCGAATGTTATTAATTTTTTTAACGATCGAGTTTATTAACTCAATTTTGTTATTGAATCGATACAAATCGATAAAATCGATAGAATCGAAAAGAATCGATACGAAGAAGGAAACGATTTTTACGTAAAATAATTTTTACGCGTAAACGATTGTTTTGTAAAAACAAAAAAACAAAAGTGTTTGTATTAAATATTTTTTAAATGAATTTCGATATATTTTTATTTTTAAATATATTATTAATATCATTATCATTATTATTATTTAATCGTGCGGAAGTGCTGTGAAAGTCCACGTGCGAGAGGGTTTAAAAAGCGCGCGAAAATTTAAAAATAAATTCGTTGGAGTATAAAAAAAAAAAAAAAAATTGTTTATATTAAATTTTTTTAAAATGAATTTCGATATATTTTTATTTTTCATTTTTAAATTTATTATCATCATCATCATCATCATTATCATTATTATAATTATTATTATTTAATCGTGCGGAAGTGCGCTTGTGCGTGGTTTTAAAAAACGCGGGAAAATTTAAAAATAAATTCGTTAGAGTTTAAAAGGTATAAAAAAAAAAGCGATGCATGCACATAAAATTTTTTAAATTTTTTTCATAGAGTAAATAACATTAATAATAAATTTTTTTTTTTTTTTTAAATTGATTACTTTGTTTATTTTCTCTATGATTTTTCATTTTTTTTTTTTAAATCGAGATTCAAATTTAAATTAAAACGAACTCGACGGTGATTCAAAGAATTAATTTTCAAAGTTTTTTGAACGGCGAAAAAAAAAAAAAGATTTGTTTGTTTGTTTGTTTGTTTGTCGTAAATCGTTGACACCGCATAAAAAGTTTTCGAACTCTAACTTTTTTTTTTTTTAATATCAATATTTATAAAAGAGGACATTACTATTAAAAAATCTCTCTTTTAAAAAAAAAAAAAAAAGAAAAGAAAAGAAAAATTGTCTAGTTTTTCAGATTTAGTGTCTTATTCCTTTATTTCAAAAAAGGATTTAATTACAATTTGTTGCATAT